CTACCGACTACGGCCCCACGAGTCTGCCCCCACAATAACCAGCAACCCCAGAGGCCTCATGGGCTGCCCAGTCCTCCCCTATCACCGAGTGAGCCTTAACCCCCAGTATCCTCCCGTGGGGCAGACCACAGGCCAACCTCTCCCAGAGAGTTCTTTTACCAGGTCACTCTGCTCCAGTCTTTTCTGAGAGCACTTCTGCTCCTTAGAGCCTCCTCCATCCACCGTCTCCAAAGCATTGGTCATCTCTTTGGACATCCTTTAGGTCTTTGCCATTTTACTCTTGGCCAGGAATGTTTTTATCATCCTTGAGTAAGGCTGTTTATATCATAATGTGTTGTTTGTGTTTAGTGTCCTCTCATTTGTCCTGTCCTCTGTCATGAGGGTCTACACGTATTTGTCCCAGAGCTGTTCTGCCCACAGACCCCTGAACACAAACACCAGCCCGTTTCCCTGCGAAGGAAAACTCACCAGTCCAGGTTCCTGATGTCAGTTTGTAGGGCTCCTCTGGGACTGTCAGGGCAGCACAAGTATGAGGTGGGGGCAGCTGTGGTCTGGGACACATCCTTCGATGTTTGGATTTTTTGCAATCAGCTGCCTGCTCAGGGCCCTGGGCACAAACATCGGCCCTTTTTCCTGGGAAAGAAAACTCGCGAGTCCAGGTCCCTGATGTCATTTTGCTTGTTGTGCTTGGAATTTTCAAGGCAACCCATGGTAGGAGTGGGGTCAGCTTGGGTCTGGGACACATCCTTCACCGTTCAGAATTTCAGGGGGTGGCCCTTCTCTCATGGCCCCTTGCTCATGGACTCTAATGCTGGTCCTTTTCTCTTTGAAACATGGCTCACCCTCCCCACTTCCTGATGTCAGCTTCGAGGAGGTGCTTGTTCCTTCCAGGGCAGGCAGAATTCTTGCTGGCAGCAATTTTGCTCCAGGATAAATCCTTTGCCATTCAGAACGAGAAGATGTAGAAAGTCACTTGGGGCCACAGGCCCTGTGACCCGACCTCTGCCCTTTTTCCCTGTAAAACCAAGCTCACCCTCCCTGTGTGTCTATGTCTGTTCACTGGAGGCGTGCTGCTCTCCAAAGGCAGCGAGAGTTCCTGGCGTTGGCAGCTGTGGTCTGTGAGAAAGCGTTCACTGTTTGCAATTTTGGAAGCACAATTCCTGTTTGGCCAGGGGAAAGACTGTTAATTATCTTGGAAATGAAAGTCTGGCACCCCGTTGTTTGAGGGTCTGACAAAGGGCTGTGTAGGGGAGGGAACACCCCCATTCCCCACTCCTGGGTGTGACCAGCTGCTTTCAGTGCAGCTACCTGGACACACCTGCACAGGGAGCTGCTAGTCCAGAGGGGCTAACAGGGGTATCCCAAGTGTCCCTCCAGGAACTATGGTTGGAACATCCAGCAGGGACTGGGGGGCACCCGGACCCACCTGGGCATGGAGCATCCTTTCCAGAAAATGCCAAGGGCAGAGCCCTCTTGCCAAGGGGCAGCACCTGAGCAGGCCGGGCAGCATGTGGGGTTCCATGGGAGAGCTTTCAACTTTCCCCTTTTATTGTGTCAGTCCCTCCCTAGAACCCCCAGACCTTCCCCAGCACTCCCAGAAAAGAGGGGGGTTATGAAGAGAGAAGGGGTCTAAATTATGGGAAAAAGCTTCCTTTTCCATTATTTCTTGTGTTCAAAGCATGAGGGAATCCACTTCCCCTCCAATTTTAATGGTCTCAGTTGAAAGAGTCCCTGCCTTTTCTATGCTGTTAGGGGTGTCAATTGACAGGGAATCCCCATTTTCCATTATTTTCCAGTTTAAATAGAAGGGGAAACCTTGACAATGTTTTTTATGGGTTTGAATTAAGGGTAACCCTTGTTGTTGTCCTAAGGCTTAAATTGAGGGGGAAGCCCAGCTATCCCTCTTTCTTAAGGGTTTGGTTTGAGGGGAAAATCCCTCTGTCTTCATCACTGGAGAGACTTAAAGTGAAGAAAACCTCTCTTTTCCCAATGTTCTAGGGGATTAAACTAAAGGGCAGAAGCCATTTATTTGCCATTGTATCCATTTCAGTGGAGGTAACTTCCCTATTTCCTCGTTTTAAGGGATTCACTTGAAGGAGACTCTTCTGAAATGCTTTTTCAGCATTTTAAGGATTTAAAACTACCTTTCAGGGCACTTCTTTCTGTGCCCTAGGACTAAATATCTCAGCAAGCCTAGCATGTACTTAACCTTTATGCTGCCCAGGAGCCTATTTTTTTCTTATTTTTATTTATAATGTAGTTAGTCCTAATTAGTAGCCCCAAGGAGACTTATATTGTTCATATAATTAGCATTCTTCTCCACCCTTAGTCTCATGTTGAGTACTACTTAGTAGTCACCGAGGAATAATTATATAAGTTAACAGCAAATTACTCAACTTATCTAGATATGCTGCCTAAAAACAAAGATTGAATATAAATAACACCATACATCAATCTACATTTTAAATGTAAATTTGAATATAAATGCGAAAAATAGAGATAAATTTAAACGCAGTTTAAAAGAAAAGGGTTTTTTTAAAAGATTTTTACTTGGATAGAGGCAGGGGTTTATTTTAAGCAATATAAACCTTTTAGAAATAGAAATCTAACTATAGAAACATGCGGTGGCGGGCGGCAGTGCTGCCGCCTTGTGGGCAGAGCGCGGTACTGCAGCCCGCCGCCCGCGGCCGCCATCTTGGGAGTGGCTTGTCGCGGACTCGCTTGACCTTCTCGAGATGGCGCGAAAAAGAGGACGTTGAATTTCGAGGACCCGTGTCTGTTTTCTACGCTGCCTGAATTGTCCCTGTTATGGGTAATAGACATAATTTGCGCCTTTCCTTATATGGAATATATAATGTTAAATACTTGTTAGATTTACCTCGTTTGTACTAGCCTCCCCCCCCCTTCTCCTCCCCTCCGAGACCGGGTGTATGTTAGAAGCTAATTTACAAGTGAGAAGATACGGCTCGCCAGGCGCCCCACGATGGGCCATGCGAGAGGCCCCAGGCGCTGATCATCGCGTGAACGACCCGAGATGGATATCTCGGAAATCCCCAGACAGATCCATGTGGATTCAACAAACTCCAGACACTGAATTATTAACATATGGACTCTGAATAGAAGAAAGGACTGATTACAAAAATCTTGGCCTCAGGTGGAATTATCCCTATAAAACTTGCTTGTGCCAAGATGGAAGGTGTGTGGGCATAGAGGAAAACCTCTCCTGAGGCTGACTTCTTGTCGCACACCCAGGCCTGACCCCGGGCTCAGCACTGCTTTTTCTCTTTTCCTTTTTATTTTTCCTGTGGCTGGCTAGATAGAATTTGACCGCAAATAAAACTGTTTTGTTTTTTTTTAATTTGGCTGAATAAACTTTCATTTATAACAGTCCCCAACGCCGTCGCCCCCCGACGGGATTTTCTGCGGCGGTTCCGGTGCCGTGCACACGGGCTGTGGGGTCAGCAGCACCGCGAGCGTGCGGGTTTTTGGCGGGAGCCGACGGGCATCGGCAAAAACGTGTCTCCATCAAGGTCCCCACGGGCCGCCATCTTGTGAGTCCCTGGTCGTGGACTCGCTTGAAAAGTGCTGCCGCCTTGTGGGCAGAGGGCGGTACTGCAGCCCGCCGCCCGCGGCCGCCATCTTGGGAGTGGCTTGTCGCGGACTCGCTTGACCTTCTCGAGAGGGCGCGAAAAAGAGGACGTTGAATTTCGAGGACCCGTGTGTGTTTTCTACACTGCCTGAATTGTCCCTGTTATGGGTAATAGACATAATTTGCGCCTTTCCTTATATGGAATATATAATGTTAAATACTTGTTAGATTTACCTTGTTTGTACTAGCGCCCCCCCCCTTCTCCCCCCCCCCCCCTTCTCCTCCCCTCCGAGACCGGGTGTATGTTAGAAGCTAATTTACAAGTGAGAAGATACAGCTAGCCAGGCGCCAGACGATGGGCCATGGCGCTGATCATCGCGTGAACGACCTGAGATGGATATCTTGGAAATCCCCAGACAGATCCATGTGGATTCAACAAACTCCAGACACTGAATTATTAGCATATGGACTCTGAATAGAAGAAAGGACTGATTACAAAAATCTTGGCCTCAGGCGGAATTATCCCTATAAAACTTGCTTGTGCCAGGATGGAAGGGTGTGTGGGCATAGAGGAAAACCTCTCCTGAGGCTGACTTCTTGTCGCACACCCAGGGCTGACCCCGGGCTCGGCACTGCTTTTTCTCTTTTCCTTTTTTTTTTTCCTGTGGCTGGCTAGATAGAATTTGACCGCAAATAAAACTGTTTTTTTTTTTTTTAATTTGGCTGAATAAACTTTCATTTATAACAGTCCCCAACGCCGCCGCCCCCCGACGGGATTTTTTGCGGCGGTTCCGGTGCCGTGCACACGGGCTGTGGGGTCAGCAGCACCGCGAGCGTGCGGGTTTTTGGCAGGAGCCGACAGGCATCGGCAAAAACATCTGTCTCCGTCAAGGTCCCCACGGGCCGCCATCTTGCGAGTCCCTGGTGGTGGACTCGCTTGAAAAGTGCTGCCGCCTTGTGGATGGAAGGCGGTACTGCAGCCCGCCGCCCGCGGCCGCCATCTTGGGAGTGGCGTGTCGCGGACTCGCTTGACCTTCTCGAGAGGGCGCGAAAAAGAGGACGTTGAATTTCGAGGACCCGTGTCTGTTTTCTACACTGCCTGAATTGTCCCCAACGCCGCCGCCCCCAACGGGATTTTTTGCGGCGGTTCCGGTGCCGTGCACACGGGCTGTGGGGTCAGCAGCACCGCGAGCGTGCGGGTTTTTGGCGGGAGCCGACGGGCATCGGCGTAATGCGCCTCTCTCCGTCAAGGTCCCCACGGGCCGCCATCTTGAGAGTCCCTGGTGGCGGACTCGCTTGAAAAGTGCTGCCGCCTTGTGGGCGGAGGGCGGTAGTGCAGCCCCCAGCCAGCGCCCTGCCCCTCGCCGCTGGTGCCGGTTTGAGGCATTATGGGTTTATTGAGGTAGGAATAAGTATTTTGTTGTTGTTAATTTAAGGTGGGTTTTTTTTTTTTTTTGCTTTTTGTCGTTTGATGTATTTGGTTTGTAGAGCAGGAACTGTAGACAGGATCCTGCAGAGGTAGTATGGAACTTGTCCTCCTAAAACCCGCCCGGCTTCCAAGGACTTTTAGCCCGTGGTCTTCCTTAGCAGCACATGGTTCCCCTACGCTTGAGAGCCGGTGCGCTTACTTTTCTCTCCGCCTTTGCTGACAGGTCCTGCTGAAGCTGAGGACAAAGCCCTACCCCTACACGGACAAGACAGCAGACCTGGTTCAGGAAGCCAGCGTGCTCCAGGTTGCTCCAGGACTCTGATAACATCAGCATCCCTGTCTCTCACATTGATGGTATGTGGTAACCCCTTAAGAACAGAATTCCAGGACTTGGGGCTACCTTTTCTAACCCTAAGCAGCAACCTGGGGATGGATAACTCTAGAAATCCTGTAATGTAAGGACCTCCAGGATTCAGCCCTCCATGTGTCCTTGGTAGCAGAAGTTGGAATTGCAGAGTTGCCACTTTACCCCCAAACGTAATTTTTGGTGTGAGTGTGCCACTTTAACAGTATTTGACATCTCTCTTTGTGCTCTTGCAGCAGCATTTTTGAACTACAATGGAAATTTAGTCCTTCTGCCTGGAGCTGTTCATAGAATCGTGGAATCCCTGTAGGGTTTGGATGGGAAGGCACCTTTTTTTAAAGCTCGTCCCGTTCCACCCCCTGCCATGGGCAGGGACACCTTCCACCATCCCAGGGTGCTCTAAGCCCTGTCCAGCCTGACCTTGGACACTTCCAGGGATCTGGGGGCAGCCACAGCTTCTCTGGGCAACCTGTGCTGGACAGCAGCATTGAAAGGCAAAGTGAAGTACAGCTGTGATTTTTGTGCTGCCCTTAACATTGTATTGCCTGACAAATGTGCCTTTGGGGTTTTTGGGGTTCTTTTTGTTTTGGTTTGTTTTTTTTTTTCCAGTGGTTTGGTTTTTTTTTGTTGTTTGTTGTTTGTTTTTGGTTTTTTTTTTTGGGGACTAAAAGGATACCTTGTGTTCCTGGAATGTTGCATTCTACCTCTGTTGTTTTCCCAGTTAGTCTGGATCCTCTGCTTACATTTTTTCCGTCACTTATTAGATGTCGTGGATATGCTGGCTGTTCTGATGGAGGGCAGTGATGGCTTAGATGAAGAAATTGGGTTCTCTTTAAATGAAGATGTGCTTATCCAAACATTTCCCTTCAGTGCTGTTGTCCCTGCTGCATTAGAAGCCAGGAATATGCTGTTGCTTCAGTCTGAAAACGGAACAGGTACAGGGTATTTTTATGTTTTATGCGTCATTTCTAGCAGTGGAGTGAAAGTGGCATAATTTCTACCCTCTTGTAATAATTTTTTACCATTTATCATTTTTTACCTTGAGGCATTTTATTATCTTCCCTGCAAGCAGGAGGTGCAGATTCATGGTGTTTTGTGCTCAAGAGGGGCATTGAAGCTCTGTAGGTGCTTCTGCCCTTTTTCCCTGGCCCTAAAGAGAAGGGACGCTGTCCCTGTGTGGACAGTCTTGGTCTGGAAGTAGTTGGCTTCAGTAACGCTGTGTTTTAAGGGCAGAGCTTGTAATTCATCCTGTAAGATTGAAAACTCTTTTCCATGGACAGAGATCACAGACAGTGTCTCTGGGGGCTCTGTCCAGGGGGGTTCCTGACCCCCTGCCAGTGTCCCAGACCTGCCAGGGCAGCCAGAGGGAAGCCCTGGATTCCCACACTCTGCTAGTCTTGTTCTCAAACATCTACTAAGATGAGCCAGCCACGTGGCAGGCAGCCAGAAGGGCAGCTCCCAGTGCTGCAAACCTTATAAAAATTTTAAAGTGGTTGTTTTTCACACTACTGCACAGGTCCACAAGCATGCTGCTGCTCCACTGGGCTGGCAGTGTCCTGCAGTCCCCAGCACATGACACTCCTGGGCTGCAGGTCAGCTCTGAACACTGAGGGCATGACAAAACCCCATTATTGATCCTAAGCAATTCAGACATACTTCCTGGCTGCCAGGGCACTTTCTAGCAGGAGTAATGTTACCTTCATCAATAATTTCACTCAGTGGCTCTTCCCTCATAAGAAACCAATACATTATGTTGAAAAATTACAGAGTAATCTTATTTTTAATGCAGAAAGAAATCAGCAGTGATTATAAATAGGAAAAAACCACATTAAAGTACCAATAACTCTCAGAAATTCTCATGAAACAATAGCATCTAAGTAACATGGAGAGGAAGAGGGTCAGAGAATATGCCACAGATGAGAAAGCAATCAGGAAATAGTGCAGACAAACCTTTTAAAAATTAACTTCCATGTTGTCCATATGCTGCATTATTTAACATAGTATGGTTACAGTACACTTTCATTTATCCAAGTTGTCATCTTAGAACCAACTTCCTATGGCTCTGGAGATGTCTGGGACACAGGAACATTGAGGAAAACATCCAGTTAAAGCTGCTGTTTGAGGACTGAGACATGAGAGTTGGGTGTTTTCGAGGTAAGTAGTCATCAGGGCTTTAATAAAAAAAAAAGCAGAGGACTCCACTATGTTATCTTCAAACAGGCTTCAAACCTGCTGTAAGTATTGTAGCCTCTGGTCTGTTCTTTCCTTACATCTTTAACAAGACCTTTTGTTTTCATTTTTCATCAAACACTACTGCCTGTGACTTTGTCATTTCACTGCCCCTGCACAAGGCAAATCAAACCCTCTGCCAAACCAGGCCATGTTAAAAGTCACTTCTCTTGTGGCTTCCCTATTCTCTGCTGCACAGTCACCTTTCTTGCTGTCAGCCCTTCCAATGTCCCTCTGTTTCCTGAGCCAGCTCCTAATGTTCCTTTAGCTTGTAGGCCTGTAACTTCATTGTTATTTGTTGAAATAACAATGTTATTTGTTGAACCACTTATTTGACTAATGTGACCTCAATGTTCCCTTAGTCCCTAGCACCACGACACTGACACTGGAGATGTGTTACATATCCCAGCATCAGTGGCTTCCTCACACCAGGTGGCTGCTGTAATGTGCTTTCTAGTGTCCTCATTTCAAACTAGGATTTCAGCTCTTCTCTTCTGGCATCTGTGAGGAAGAATGAGACACTTCAGGGGCTAATGGGCCTTAAATGTGAAGCATGACAGCTCCTGTAACTCAGGATTCTGTTATCCAAGAGCCTCACGTGACTGTCTACATTCCACTGGCCATCATGCAGGGCTACTCCTAAATCAAATAAGATTTTTAAATCCCAGTGGCTGACTTTGAGCTACAGTCACATAAGCTTGTCCTCAGCATTGATCCCTCACACTTGCTCTGCCCAAAGCAGACCCAACAATTTCTGCAGCATAAGCAGCAAGAGATTTCCTCCCTGCAGCCACCCTTTCATTCCTCAGTGCAGGAAATCATAAACACTCCTCTATCTCCCAGCCCCTGCCAGCATTCCACCACAGCACAGCAACATCAACACCCCAGGGCAACTGACACGTACCTGCCTGGGATAAACATAAGGGGTGGAAATGCCTTGGGAATAGAAGATAAAAGCCCTCCCACTGCCCACCAAGACTGGCATAAAAGGTGAAGAATGTGTGCCCTGTGGAGAGCACTCTGCTGGTGGCCCAGCACGTTTTAGAGGGCTCTGGAGGGCTGCACGTGCCATGTTTACACACCCCATCCTGGCACCTCCTGTCTCACTCTGCTTGTAGGTCAGCCTGGATCCAAGTGCCACTTCCAAGTGAGTTTGTCTCCCCTCCCATACATAAGCCTCCTCCTCTGGATGCAGTAACCCTGTGCTATTTGATTCCTGACTTGTGGGCACCTCCCAGAGCAGCCCAGGAACTGCTGAAAGGTCTCTACAGTGGCAGCTTGGTCATTGTCCTCCCATCACACCCCTGCAGGCACCAGAGCCAGAATTTCCCCATTCCTTGTTGGAACCAGGCAGCAGAGCACTCCAGACCCAAGCATCCCTGACCCAGTGGGACACAGACATGGGGACAGGTCTCTGCACATATCCCTGTCCTGGCAAGAGACAGACAAACTCTTGCTCACAGCACAAAGCCAGTCTGAAGTCCTGAAGCCCATGGCCAGAGCAATGACCAAGAACAAGCTGGCACAGGACTAGCAGAGGTGACAGGAACACCTGAGCTGTCCAAGACAGTGACAGCAAAGGCCTCCTTTGCCCAAGTGCAGCTGGCAGCCTCTCCCTGAGGCACACAGCAGCTACAGGGCAGGGAACGGCTTCTTCATGTTCCATCTGCAGCTAATTCTGCTGATTCCTGCTTTCCCCATCAATTCCTACACCTTTCCCATGGTTTGCCAACCTGCCATCTCAGGAACAGCACGTGGGAGGGCACAGCTCCATGGGACAGGGCTCCTCAGCCTTCCTGTGCAGCTCCTGCACTCCCTTGGCCACAGTCCCAGTTTGCTCCCACTGCAGGCACAGCTCAGGCAGAGCCTTCCTTATCTGCTGCTTAACATGGGCCACCTGAACCTTTCCATGAGCTCCTCAGAATGCTCCCAAGGATTTCTGTAAACCTGAGATCGGGCAGATGTGCCAGTGCAAAGATAGCTGTAGCAGGAGCCTTGTGGGCAAATGCATTTCATAATAGTTTTCAGAAGTGCCTTTTTAGAAGGTGTCACATTCCAGACCCAGGATGGTGCAAAATCACTCTGTGAAGGGACCATCCTTTCACTCAGCACATTTGCATTTGTCCTACTTCTATTCCTGTAGACCTAAAACTCATCAAATTCCTCCTCTCTGATACGCAGTACCACCCTTCCCAGGATGCTATACCACAGTATTTGAGCAGAATATGTCAGGACTACACAGAAAATATTTTAAGATCCTACCCTGCGTCAGGAACTCCCCCAAACTCACGTCTGTTCTGATTTCACTTTACCCCAAATCACCTGGACAATCAAAACAAGAGACCAAATATGAACACGAACAATACCTGTTTTATTTTACAGCTTCTCTGTACATTTTTTTTTAAGTAAGATAAAATTGCAACAAAACCCAAAACTTCAGGTTCTTACGCCTTCAATGAGCAGTGACCAGCTAGTGCTGCCTACAGCTGGCACAGCCCAGCAGGCAGTCTGAGCTCTGTCTCACCCCTGATATGTATTTATCATGAAACTTCAGAAATCACTGACAGCAGAGCAAAAAGCTGCAGCTGCAGTGGCTTGTGCTGAATTGCACAACCTTTGAGCAGTTGAACAGGTGGGTCAGTGGTCACCGCAAGCTGTGAGGACCCAGGGATCCTTGCAGGAAGTGTTGTAGATCCTGAGAGCCCCCAAGAACACAGATGGCCAGTGGTGTCCTGTCCCCTGCCTCCAGAGCAGCAACGGGACAGGGCTCATGCCCTCTCCAGGACAGAGCCTCTAGTCACTGGTCTAGCTTAGTGCAAGGGTGGCATTAGGTCACTTCCTGATGGCTCCTCACAGCAGCCACCCTGCACAGTGTCAGGAGCTGCAGGCTGCAGAGGTTTTTCTGGATGTGTGTCCTAGGGAGCTTGTAAAGTCATTCCCCTCACTAGGAGCAATCACTGAAGATTTCTAACCAGCCAAGACTGGTGGATTTCTCTAGCCCCACTGTTTTGGGTAAATGGTATTTGTCACAGCTGGACAACATCTGTGACATGTGATGGCTGCACCAGTCCTGCACAGCTCTTACAGGGATAACAAACATGGGACTCAGGCTGTTGTGTCCAGCCTACTCCATTCCTCTCCTCCCCACAGAAGTGTTCAGTGGAAATGCCTGGGAAGGCAGCAACAACCCCGGCTGCTGCTGACTGAGGCAGTCCTCAGGAATGGCACCACCAGGACATGTCTCTGCTCCACACAAACCTCCCAAAGCAGGAGTGCGACCTCCTCCAAGCCTGTAACCAAAAGGCCTGGGGCAGCACAGGGCTGGAGCTCCTCTGCCCTGGAGCGCCAGGAGAGCAGGAGCAGGGGTCCTGGGCTCGTATACCAGGGAGATGCCAAGGCCATGCTTCAATGAAACATCTCTGAGGGGACACACAGATCCAGAGTATACCTCTTGTACTATTAAAGGTTTCTAAATGTGCCAAGCAATCAGATCCCAGGTGAAAAACCTTCCCATGCTTCTACAAATAAAAGGACAGCTAGAGCATCCAGCCCACCGAGTCACAGAAAACTAAAGCACAGTTGAGCTGTAGTTCAACACACTGGGAGAGGAGATCCTTGCCTGCAGGGCCTGGCTTGGGCAGCTCTCCAGGCACAGCCTCCAGCTGGGCTTTGCCTGGAACAGGGGCCTCCCTGCCTTTAGCACATCAAACCTACCTATGAATACATTCATCCCTGTCTGGGCAGATCCCACAGCAGCCACTCAGCCTCCTGCAGCCAGAGGCCATACTTTCACCCTCTGGGAAAACACTTATTATTGCTAATAAGCAATTAATAAAGAAAAAAACCATAGCAGCAGCACCAGCAGGAATTTACTCTGGGGCTGGGAAGCAGCTCCCCTGCATGCCAACCCCCCACAGCAGCAGGGACAGGTACACAGGGTACATGAAACCATTCCCACATTGCACAAGGAAGATGAGAGCAATTGCATACTGAAATCATGAATCCCCAATTATTTTAATGCCCTCAAGGGGCCTCAGGATCTCAAATCTGATTAGAGACACTTGCTGCCCCACAGGAGGTGGCTCCAGTTTGCACAGGGGTGCAAGGAGCCAGGAAATCCCCAGACAGGAGGTTCCCAAAGCAAAAGGCAGGCAGAGCTACAGGCTCCCAGCCAAGGCAGCCAGGGCACAGATTTCACAGAATTTCTGTGTGAAGATCTCCCTTGAAGGCTCTGAAAGGTTTGGTGTAGGAGGGAGCTCAGTGACAGAACTCAGATGTGGGAGGCAATGACAGCAGCCGTGGCAGACAGATAATGAGGCAGATCATCACAGCAGACCATACTCAGGTAGAAGAGCTGTCACATGGATGTTTCCCAGAGGGGGTGATGGGAGTTCACTGAAGTTCAGGACCACATCTGAGCAGGACCCAGTGACACCCAGCTCCACCCAGGTAAGGGGAAGCCACGGAGGAAGGGTGCAGGCTGTGTGCCAAGGCAGGGCAAAGCCTGGAAAGCAGATGTGGTCCCACTTCCCCCCTGCATCACAGCATGTGCCCTAGGATGCCATGTCCTTGCTTTTGCTGCTTTATGCATTTGTCCTAAAAATGCACAACACACTCCAAATCTCCAAAAGCCTTCCTCATACAGGAGAGCCCCAGAGCTCCTGTACCACACACAATCAGTTTGGGTTGGGTTGGAAAGGACCTTAAAGATCATCTCATTCCACCTCCTTCCATGGGCAGGGACAACTTTCACTGTCCCAGGGTGCTCCAAGCTGTGTCCAGCCTGGCCTTGAGCTTGGATGGAGCAGCCACAGCTTCTCTGGGCTCCCTGTGCCAGGACCTTCCCACCATCACAGTGAAAATTTAAATTTTTCTCTCCAATAGTCCACCTAACCCTGCCTCTAGCAATGAGAAGACATTCCCCCTCATCCTGTCCCTCGAGACCCTTGTCCAAAGTCCTTCTCAGCTCTCCTGGAGCCCCTTTAGGCCCTGGGAGGGGCTCTAAGGTCTCCCTGGAGCCTTCTCCAGGCTGATCAGCCCCAGCTCTTCCAGCCTGTCTCCACAGCCCTCAGAG